AAAGTTTCTCTTCATCAACTCCCAAGATGGCCGCCACGGTTACCCCAGCAACCAAACTCAAAACCTTTTGATTTTAGGTTAGGCCTTATTCAGGCTTTGATCAGCCTGAATAATGCATTGTACAGGACCTAAAGTTTAAAATGTCCAGTTTAAATGTCCGCATGCACAATGACATGTCAGTTATCTCGGCTTTTAGTATAAATATCCCTGTAAATGTCTCAGGAAATAAAAAAAATCCGATATAGAATGTGAGATATGCCAAAATAATCCAATGGTTTTTATGACGTTCAAAATGGTCTGTACAGAAACGTTACTGTCAATGAAAAAGTCTTTATTCTCTAGTTTATTATTCCTTTGCTCTGAAGATCCCCTGCTGTTGCATCATCTGTGATTAAAAAAACAGTTGTAACAAAGTTGGGACTTGGTGCAAATTGTGAATAAAACTTAAAACATTTTATTGATGGGACGGAAGTTGAGAATCAGCTTTTTCTATTAACTCTGTACATGTCGCAAGTATATTGATATTATTATAATTTGCTGTAACTATAGCCTTGTTTCCACCAGCCCAACTCAGCCCTACTCTACTTGGCTCTATTCTACCTTGTTCTGTTTCCATTACACTTTAGAGAACAGAGCAAAGAGGGAACTGGAATAAAGTATTGCCCATATTTTTTGGCAATTTCTCAGGTGAATTTACGTTCTTTACATTCTTGACAATCACATGTCTGTGTTTGCAACCAGTCAATTCAAATAAATAATTAAATTTAAAAAAAGTCTAATTCTTCCTCTGGTGGCAGCATGGGGAGTTACAGGCAGAAAGCACTTTTTACCCTTCATGAGTCACCCTGTATTGTCTGCTTAAGATATTATTCCAAATCGTAAAACATGAAATGACAAAGTAAACTGTCTCATTTATATTTTTATGTTCAAAACTAATGCGTAATATTTCTTCTTTAAAGCCTAATTAAAAGGGTTTTGACATCAGTATTATAGCTGAAGTTATGAAGCAGGAATGGGAAAGAATTCAGAATTGGTTTTGTCAGTTCCCAAATGTTTATTTGACACTTATTAAAAGAAAAGATTACATAACACTGAGAATTGTCGCAGGAATCTAATAAAAAAATTGTTTTATTGGCCTGGAATTATGTCTTGTTTTTGAGGCATATTCCACTAAAACTGTCCCAACTTCATTGCATTTGTGGTTGTGCATAGATCCGGTATCATGCAGGCATTTTGGCACAGATGGGAACAAAAGCCCCCCGTTTCCACCAGCCCTACTTGGCCTTGGCCTTACTCTTCCTGGTTGTGTTTTCACTTTAGTGTCTGGTACCGCATCCTAGCAAACATACCCACAACAAACCACTATTCTGGGAAACTTATTGCAATAGCCATGGCTTCTAACAGGCGCATTGGAAACGCTCCCAATCGGGGTAGAGCCGAGCCGAGCAGGGCCAAGTAAGCTCGGTAGAAACTGGGCTAAACTGTGATGTGCTGCTATGTCGGCACTTTGTTGCTTTGTTATAACTACAGCAGACCGCAGCACATTTTGTCGTCTTCAAACACAGTCTCACTTTAGTGTTTGTGACGGCTACGTGACGGGTTCCAGAACATTCCTCAGATGTATTTTCCGATATATATGTATTTATTTTCTATAAAAGTGTATTTTGTAATGAGAGAATTCAGAAAAATATATCAGATGTTTTTATTCTCATGTACTTTAAGCTGCTTTTGTGCCAATCGTCCATCACGGTGGTTTTAAATGCACACTCTGTATTGAATGTGATTTAATAAAGACAAACCTGTGTAACGAATTACATTGTTTGATTCATTTTGCTCAGAAAGCCACTGTCCTGGATTTCACTTACTTTCTCTCTAAATTTTCTCTTCTAAATTTGTGGAAGATTCACCAGTCTCGCACGGCTATTTTTTCTCGAAGGACAAAAATAATTCTATTGCAACTTTGCTCCGGAAAACTTATCCGGGGCTAATAGCAAAACGGTTGTACTTAAAGGTACACTCGGTAATTTTACTCCCATCTATCGTTGAGATCATATGTTGCAGTCAACTCTCTCTAGGGCCATGCAGTTCACATTAAGTTTTACAGCTACGGTAGCCTCAAAGGACAAAATGTCATCTATAAAATCAATACGGCACCACTCCAGCGATCAAGTTTACCCGTTTCATTTCTATTAATGGCCCAATTTTAAGTGCATGAAATGACATAGTAAGACGACATTTTATTGATTTAAATTTGGTGTTAGCTTTGCCCCATAACAGGGTCGATGTGTTGCAAGGATGTGTTTTTATTGTACGTGTTTTTAGCCGATTTCATGGCTCATATCTGGATTTACTAAGAAAATATCAGAATATAAACACCAGGATCACAGAGAGAACTAAACCACAGAACTTTCAAACCCAGTTACTGAGCTAGAGGAGTTTACTTGTATGTAAGTCAATAGGAGCCAGAGTAAGTTAGATCAAAACTTTGCCTATGAGCACTTCTCTATTGGACTTTATTGAGTTAGGCCCTGTCCACACGAAGTCAAGCTCAGGCCTAAACGCAAAAATACTTTATCAATCCAGTGTATCGTCCATACGAGGCCGGCGTTTTGGGGGGGTGTAAACGAACATTTTTGAAAGTAGGTCCCAGAGTGGAAAGATTTCAAAACTCCGTATATGCCGCTCCGTGGTTACTGCCTCTCCGCAATGTATCTGAGACGCTTGCGTCATCGCCCCGCCTCTTGTTAAAGCACGCATGCGCCGCACTCAGAAAATAATGACAACAACAATGTAGCTTGTTGGTTTTGTAATCCAGTGCGACCCGAAGCAACAGTTCAACCTCATCGTCCGTCCATACTAATGTAGTACCAGCTCGCCCACTCGCCATGTTGTCTGTTTACAAAATTCTGCGCATGCCCACGGAAGTTTGGGCTTGATCCCGTCATTGCGTCACAGCGCCACCAACAGGTCTGGCATAGTTTCACAGCGTTTTCAGGCGTATTGACTACATTCATATGGACGCACACATTTACTGAGCTAACTCCGTGTTTACAGAAAAAGTTTCTGAAATTATAAGCGTTTTGTCTTCGTGTGGATATAGCCTTAATTGGTTAGCATTGTCCATCTATACAGTCTATGCCGTTGCCACAATAGCCCTGGGGCAGACTGATGGGAGCGAGGCAACTTTACAGTACCATCTCCAACCACCAACATTCATTCACCCTCACACCAGACTCATGTGGGAGAAGTGTCTTGCCTAATGACACGACAATTGGCACTTTAAAGCTGGGGTGTGTAAGTTTCAAGCCACATCGAATCGAGCTATGTAATAAATCCATGTCACTAGTTCCTGGCTCTTAAACAGTTTTGGTTTTTGGTTACATCTTTAGAGCAGCTTTTTCAGACTGAAAAGTACCAGAGGACCACCCTCATTCAGCCCAAAGTGTCAAAAAGTGACTCACAGGGATCCTTCTTACAGCTGAGTGAAGACAGCATGTTGTGGTCTTATTTTACCACAACATCTTCCTTCCACAAGACTTTCTATGTTCACATAACCATATTTCAACAGCATTTCTCCCGATTTCCCCATCTACTAATGTCTAAGCCACGGTGCCATGTTTGTGCTAGCATGCTGAGCTAGCATGCTGAGCTAGCCTGTTCCCGCACGCTTTCTCAGCCTCAAACTTGACGGAAAAAGCAGCGCAAGAATTCTAACAATCCGTCGAAAGAATGCGACGCAGACAAATGGAGCGAAGGAAAAGCCGCATGTAGTGAAACTAGAGCCTTTATACCAGATACGTGTGTGTTTGCTTTCACGCCGGGTCGCCAGGTTGGAGAGTTTTAATGGGTCAGGGGGAGGCTGGGAGGGGGCTGTTCACATGTGGGACCGGCCCGAGACAATGGAGACAGTGTGGAGCGGGGTTTGAAGCATTCTGGTAAATTGATGTTTTTCTCATAGCTGTTATAATGCTATTACGCTACAGGAAGTTTTTAAAAGGAGAAAAGTTAAGTTATCCACCTGCTGTGTATACATTTATTTAGACATTGGTCATCTGACCCTTATGGACCAATGGCTTTTTTCTGATCTGTTGTTGGCGAATCGACAGATTTGTAAAGTTCTCAGAGATTACTACTGTTGTGATTTAGGGCTATACAAAAATAAATTGAAAGGAGATGCATTTTTCAGAAGGAGTAAAAAATAGTTCCTTCACTGTTTGTTTGAATTAAACCAAAACTGGACCAACGGTGAAGAAGACTCGATATTAGTTTCATCTATATTATATATCATTTTTTAAAATAATTTTAAGATGCATAACCAGAGATATCAAACATGAAACTAGTGCAAACTACATTGAAAGAGGTTCACCATGACCTCAAAGACCTCATCCCTTGAATATTGTTTCTTGCGTTTGTCCCAAGTCCGAGTCGTAAAGGCCACCATCCAACATAGCTTCAAAATTAGGTATAACATGCCATGGCAGCCATTTTAATACATCAATGTACTTCACGAAAGACAATACTTCGCTTATTGTGATGAAAGGTAACAAGAGTGAAGCTCTTTACAATGGATAATAATGATAATAATAATAATAATAATCCATTGGGTTTTATAGCGCAGCTGCCCCGGGGCACACTGACAGAAGTGAGACCATACAAGAAATGTTATGGTCTGAGTGAAAAACAAATATCCGCATATACAAATAAAATTAACGGCAGAATTCCAAAGGGTCTGAGCTTCACAACAAGGTAGACGAGGTAGAGCATGTATTTATTGTTGTGTTGTGATTATGATCACAATGGCTAATTTGTTCCCGGGCCTTAGTTTGGACATAACTGGTCTATGGTTTCCTCTACCCCTAAAATTCTTTAAAAAAATGTTGCTTATTTTTGTCTCAAGTATTAAACACACTTCATAGATATAGATAATCTTGTTAAATTTTGCATCCACAACCGTGAACATTTAATTGTACCATAGAGCTTGTTATGTTAGTGCTGTATACATGGTTTGGTTCCAGCCTCTTCCCCTCAGCCTCCTCTGCCCCTCAGCCTCCTCTGCCCCTCAGCCTCCTCTTCCCCTGAGCCTCTGCCCCTCAGCCTCCTCTTCCCCTCAGCCTTCTCTTCCCCTCAGCCTCCTCTTCCCCTCAGCCTCCTCTTCCCCTGAGCCTCTGCCCCTCAGCCTCCTCTTCCCCTCAGCCTCCTCTGCCCCTGAGCCTCTGCCCCTCAGCCTCCTCTGCCCCTCAGCCTCCTCTGCCCCTCAGCCTCCTCTTCCTCTCAGCCTCCTCTGCCCCTCAGCCTCCTCTTCCCCTCAGCCTCCTCTGCCCCTGAGCCTCTGCCCCTCAGCCTCCTCTGCCCCTGAGCCTCTGCCCCTCAGCCTCTGCCCCTCAGCCTCTGCCCCTCAGCCTCCTCTGCCCCTGAGCCTCTTCCCCTCAGCCTCCTCTGCCCCTGTGTTCTCTGCTTCCACCCCTCTCCTCCATCTGGAAGTGCTTTACACCTGATGGAATGTGGCTCAGCTCTGCCGCTTTCCCAAAGAACATGGAAGTCCACTTTTCCCGAGCCAAGAAAGTTAGAACAAAATGCTCTGTACATTAAACGGGGTTAAGTTGTTTACAGCGAAGGTCCAAACAACACGCCAATCTTTCCCACTGTTGCCCCGGGTTGACGTGCTATTTCAAAACACCGGTCTGCAGTAGATATTGAAAAACACATATTATAATCCAAATACATTTAAACCGTCCACTCTGGCTTCATATCTATTGTGGTTCAATTCTCTCTCCAGGCCTTTCTAAGTGGGGTTTGCATGTTCTCCCCGTGCGTGCGTAGGTTTTCATTTAACGAGTGAGTCTGTAGTTTATTCTTGTTTAGTTTGTCATTTGTCAGTTCCATTCAGGAGATGGGAGAAAGCTGCTTCTCCTCCTTTCAGTTTTACACAGGGAACAGAGAGGAGGTCGAGCTCCGAGGTTCTCAGTGGAGTTTGTGTTCTCCTCGTATTTGTGTAGGTTTCCTCCTGGTGCTCCGGTTTCCCCTACCACTAAAGACATACTGTATACGATAAGCCTGAATGTCATGAGACATCAATTCCAGTGTTTGGCGTCTCGTATCAGTCATGTGGCCATACTTGCATGTGAAAGCCAGATCCTGTCAGACCTCTGAATCTAAGCAGGATATGGCCTGGTTAGTACTGTGATGGGAGACCACTAGGAACACCAGGTGCCACAGTGGATGGCTGCGGTAGTAGTTTATCACCACCGTGTATGGAGTGATAGAATAATGACATGTGAAGCGTATTTGAGTGTCCTGAAAAGCACTGTATATAACCAAAGCAATATTATTATATTATTAGTCATCACTGTGTGGAGAGAACGGAAGAATAACGGTACTTTAAACTAAGCTGAAGCTTTTTGTGCGACCTTGGTCTGTGAAATGCATTATATAGAGATGGATTACTTACTCACTTATTTAGTTTTTGACGTTTATAAGGAAAAATAGGTTTGTGAATGTCTGTATTTCTCCATGTGGCACTCCCCCTATGGACCAATACTGATGTCCAACAAGATGGATGTGGTGATGATCCAGGACACTTTAACATTCTACAACATGTATGGACATTTTCTTTTTAACATGTGTTTTATATTATTTTTGTATTTGAAGTGTTTGATTCTCTGATCTGTGTTGGAGAATTCAGTGGTTTTGTTAAGTCCTCTGAGATAACTACGGTTGTGATTAAGGGCTATACGAGAATACATTGAATTGAATTATTGTATGTGTGAACGTATGCGCAATGCTCATGTACGTATATATGTTTGTATCATGTGTTTTTTGTAAATGCTGTGGATTACATTAAATCATTCCTGTTTATAAGTTTGAAATAAATAAATAGAACCAGAGCCTTCCAGAGTTTTGCTCCCTGGATAGAGGAGACCGACTGTCCCAGCGTTGGTTTCCTGAGGTACACTTTCACATCTCGAAAGTCCAAATACTCTTTCCTCATATCCTTTAGAATACCTCATTTCCAGTCACTCTCCAGAAGTTCAGTGTTGTGAGTGTGTTTGGAGCAGGCAGTTGTTTTGGTGCAGAGATCAAGGTCAGGTTTGCAGCGAGGAGCACGAGTGGGAAGAGCCTCCTCAATGTTTTCGACTGACATGAATCATCAGTTTTGGTGCTTTTGAAAAGAGAAGTAGAGAAATGTCATAGTGAGTAAGCCTCAGTGCGGGTAATTCAGAATGTACAAAAGGTGTGCGACTTTAGCGTTAGCATTTTTCATATGACTAATGTAGTGGACGCAAGAATTTTACATAAACTAAATGCGTAAGAGACTGATTTGAACATACAGTAAGCTAGCTGCAGCCAATTTCTTCATATGGGAATTTAGGACAACATGGTGAACTACGCGCTACAGACTGTATATAGATGGACAATGCTAACCAGCTAGCTCAACAAAGCCCATTAATCCTTTACGGTTCACTCCTGGTAGAAATGTAAGTTTTTCTGTTTTGGATTTTCTGAGATGTAGGACACTAATAACACAAATACGTTATATATATTTCTTTTTTAAGTAATAGGTCTTAAACGGTTGTGATGCAGTATGACGGTAAAAGTGTGAGATGCCCCTAAGAGGTGGATTTTAGTTTCAAGCTTCAAGTCAAAATAACGACTCAGAAAGTGATCCACCAATGGTTGAGGAAACCGTTAAAGGGTTAAGGAAGTGCTCCTGAACAAAGTTTTGCTCCACACTCTCTGGCTCCTATTGACTTACATGTAAACTCCTCCAGCTCAGTGACCATTTGTGTCACACTCACCATTTTGGGCTTAAAAAAATGTGGTTTAGTGCTCTCTGTGATCCTTGTGTTTGTATGGTGATATTGTCTTTTTAAGTCCAGACATGAGCACCTGAGGAGCCTTTTGTGATGAGAGATTATCAAAATATGAACACCTGAAGTAGAGAGACCTTCTGAAAGACTCATGGGCTTTACTCATATTTTCCAAGTTAGATTTATTTTATTTTATTTAACAGTCGGGACATGAAAACAATTCAATTAAACTTTTTCTTGTCTAGCCCTAAATCATAACAGTAATAATCTCAGAGAACTTTACGAAGCTGTCGATAATCCAACACAGATCAGAGAATCAAACAGAAAATGCAACAATAACAAACACGCAACGCCACTGGTCGTTAATGGGCGGATGACAAATGTCCATTAATAATTTACAGAGACATTTGCATTTGAGACATCCTCATTGAAATGTAACGGTTTTTATAGTCTGTAATTGTATGTCGCTGTGTGTAACTTTTGTCCAGGACTCCCTTGAAAAAGAGGATCTTAATCTCCATGGGACTTTCCTGGTTAAAAAAAGGTTAAATTAAATAAAAAAATTAATATTGTTAAACGTCGGTTGTCCTGGATCATCACCCCTGTGAAAAAATTAGACTGAATACATTTCCGTGAACATACTGTATGATCACAAACTCAGCCTTGACTCAGTCCGACCGAGAAAAGAAATCACTCGTGTAATAATGTTTTATCAGCTTTGTCCTGAAACATGTCTGTTCCAGTAAGCGTTGGTCTAACCGTGGGTGATTGGATCTTTCTGTGGATTTTGTGTGTCTTCCACATGGAGGACGTGAACCGAGAGCTTGTGTAAACTGTGTTAAATAAATAACCCGTCGGTGCGTTTCACTCTGCCCCGAATGTGCAGCGCCGGAACGCAACAAGGCTCCAATCAGAAAGCTTCTCTGTACGTGTCGGAAAGTGTGAGTTTTGACCAAGACGAGGAAATGTAGAGGATGAGGAGGCTGAGGTTTGGGGAAGAGTAGGTGCTGAGGAAAAACAGAAAGACTAATTGGCTAAAGCAGGGGTGTCCAGACTTTTTAGTAATAAGGCCACTGCAGTTGACCAAAACTTGTCCAGGGACCGACAAGACAGAGAACAGCTTTGACTGGATCAGGCTGAGATTTAAAACAAGGAATAATAGATGTTTGCTAGCTTACTATCACACCAGAGCTACCCTAGCGCCATATAAGAGATTTAGGAAGTCAAAAACAAATGTCAGCATATATAAATACAATAACGGCAGATTTCTAAAGGGTCTAAGCTTCATGACGAGGTAGATCATGTCTGTAACGGTGGAGCTGAAGTTGGATGACTGTGAACTGTTAATGATCCCAATGGCTAATTTGGGTTAGCAAGGCAGAGGACCACATGACATAACACAGAGGGCCGCAATTGGCTCCCGGGCCTTAGTTTGTCCTTAAACCATGATCTAGGTTTCTGTGTTCTATCTCTGCATCATTAGAGAGAGCCAAGAGGTCTGGATCCAGCCACAGTGCATGTTTGGGGCTAGTTTTCTAGTTTTCTGCCATTTTCAAGCATGGGCCAATATGCACAGGTTATTGACTTAAAGTGGAGACACTATTACATTTTTATTGGCCATTCAAAATTGTAGAAAGAGAAAGGCCCAGTCTGAAGGTGAAATCGAACCAAGGATCTTCTTACTGAGAAGCGAGTGTTCTAACCACAGGGGCTGGTAGAACTCCAAAGATACCTGATGTTAGCATAGATGTAGCATAGATAATCAATGACTCCTCTGGCCACTCTGGAAAAGCCATGTTCCAGCTTCTTCCCTCTGGCAGAAGGTATTGTTCTTTGAGATGCAGCACATCTCGTTTAGCTTCTTTCCACAAGTTATCAGTTTAAACAGAGCACTTTGATAATCTCGCACTTGTATTGAAACTGTTTCTATCACACGTGCTTTGAACCGATGTGGATGTGTTGCAGGAAGTTGAAGCTGGAAAAGGAGTTGGCTGGGATGCTGTGGAGGATCCGCTGGGAGGATCTGCAGTTCGAGAGCCCCAACAAGTTCCACAAACGAGCGGGCAGTCGGCTCACCCTGTCCCAGGTCAGGAGGCCTTATTTCTGTTCAATTTGGCACTGGACTGACTCTGGGAATCAGCAGGAGGCCGGTCCCTGTGCTCCTCAGAGTTCCAGCAGGAGTCCAGTCCCTGTGCTCCTCAGAGTGAGAGTTGGTTCACATGGCTCTAACATTTTCTCAGATGTACTTTGGTGCGAGGCCATGGAGAGACTTGTAACAAACAGAGCTGCTTTAAAGTATTTTCTCTGAGCCACAGAAGCCAGTGCAGAGACAAAATCAAGATAAATGTTGTTTAATTCAAACAAATATTATCACAATGTTACAGTATGGAAAATCCTGGTCTTACTATACCAGGGTGCAGCTCAGACTGCCACCCCCCTGGCCCAGAAATGGATTAAGGGGAAGAAAATGGTGGCTGGATGGATGGCTAAGGTCTGGATTTGCTCCATTGAGCTCTGTAAACAGGTGTGAAGGGTTAACTTCTTTTTCAGATTAAAACGATTGGATCTGAGTTTGCCGTGACGTATGTAATGCACCTGAGTGAGGAATTTAGCATTTAGCCTAGCTTTAGCCACCTCTTTTGCCGCTAACGAAGCCCGTGGGGAGTAGAGCCACAACATCTTTGCCAGCAATGAAATCTGCTAAACATTCCTCTGGCTCTGGCTACAATTTCTTGATATTTGGGGTTTACAGATGGCTAAGGCCAGGCTAGCTATGCAACAGTTGAGCAAAGAAGGCTTCAATCTGAAAAATGTTTTATTGCCTCAACATTATCCCTTCCAGCTCTGGGACGACACAGCTGAGTGCTTTTGTAATACTTTGTCGTCTTTGGTTTGTTTTCTGTTGAGTTGTGTTGTAAAATCCTTTTGGGAGATTGGAAAGTTTGTGTGCCGGCTGCAGGAGGCTGTTCTCGTGTTTTTCTCTGAATAAGGGGAACAACTCCAACAACGACCTCGTTCTGAACTCTGAAGTCTGAGGAGAAACTAGGAGAGACTGGCATGAGAGGCGCTTAGCCACCCAAATACCTTTAATGAAAAAAAACTATTTTGGAAAAAAAACACTGGAATATTTAGTGATTAATTTCATTCATTAAAAAATAAATATAGTTCATTCAAAGTGACACACAATCACGATAAAACATATTGGTCTTTAGGAGAAACCGGAGCAACAGGAGCAAACCTACGCAGACATAGGAAGGAACATGCAAACTCCACTCCATATCTGGCTTGAATATCTATTTTTCACATTTCTTTGGCCTCCCTAACACTAAACAACTGTAGGATTGATCTTCAGAGATATTTGTACAGCCTCAGTATTCCCCCAGATGAACTGGAGAGAGTCTCTTTGCTCAGACTGCTGCCCCCCTGACCTGGCAATGGATAAAGCAGAAGGAAAAACAATAAAACAATGGACAGACAAAAATATCCACGGATGGCTAATTAGATCTGTAGTCTGACCGTAGACTGTATATATTAACGAACGTAGTCACGCTTATCTCCGACGTTCTAACTAATGGGCCAAAAATTGGGCTTTTGTGGAGTGATTTAAAATGGCCGCGGGGGCTGGAAAATGTGAAAAAACACATCTGCGCATGCGTCAGCCGGCACAGGCCCCATTCATTTAAACGAGTGACTTCAAAACTTCACAGCAAGTAAATGAGACTGGTCCAAAAAAATTCACTCCCCTCAGGATTGACACACATGTGGAACGGAGCTTTGGGCCAAGAGCCAACCTTTGGATCATCCTGTAAAGACGTTTTTGAGAAGTACTGCAAGCATGTCAGCGCCCGTCATTTTGGCCACTTTAAGTCTGACACAAGCTCTTCAACCATTTTAACATTGACAACACCCGGTACGGTCTTGTTGGATTGATATTGAGATTAAAAATGTACAAATGATGAGACTATAGTTCAACAATAGCAGACAGAGGCATGCTTTGTCTTCTTTACAGTAATCCTTCAGTTTGATTCGAAATGGAGTATTTGCTTAGGAATACACTCGCTAATATTATGATCTAATTTGGGTTATGGGTAGCGCCTCTTTTTATATTTTATTTTATGGTTTCTGTTCCTAGTTTTATTACTGTGGATGTTAATTGTGTGATTGAGTTGCTGTTTATTCCCACTTATTTTTGTATTTTTTTGTTGTCGAATATTATGATGATGTTAATGAGGACTACACTTAGAACAGTTAATATTAAGAACATATTTCTTGGACGGATTAGTTGTGAGAATGTGAGTGTGAATGGGTGAATGTATGAGTTTGGCTGGGTGGGTGGAGAAGGGATGGATAAAGCCTGTTTCATTTTGGTGTGTTGCCTGTGTTGCTTTTCGTTTTGTTTACAAGAAATCCAAACAAAACAAAATCCTTCAGTCGTACAGAAAATGACCATCTCTCGCCTAGTGTGGTTTCGCTCCTGTCGTGTCCTTAAATCCTCCCGTTCGCTCCACACGTTCGAACGTTTCACCATTCCGCACATCTGCAGCCGGAGAATGTGTTGTCAGCCTGATGGTTTTTCCAGCGCTCGTGGTCCAGAGCCAGACCGGAGTGTGAAGCAGCCTCCGAGAGAGAACCCGCGCTCACACAAACGCATTCTGGCACATTCCAACTCCTTAAAGACCCTTCAGAGTGTGTTTTAGGAGATCTTTGTCCATTAATAACGATAATGGGACTGTTCGCCTTGTTTTAGAATGTGGTGTAATATCTTCAGTTGAAATTATATGGGGAAAGGAAACATGTATGAAGGGTAAAAAATGCTTTACTGTAATTCCATATGCGGCCACCAGAGGGAGAAGGAGAAGCCACGTGATTGAAAAGGCTGTTATTTCAATTACCGAACAATTTATAGCACGAGTGTTCAAAGATTTCAGTAAGAGGGTAACTTTAGCTTGGCAAAATTGTCCAGGGGTCGAGAGAGAGACAAGAGACCAGAGAGAGACGAGAGAGACCGGAGAGTAGAAAGAGACTAGAGAGAGACCGGAGAGTAGAGAGAGACTAGAGAGAGACCAGAGAGAGACTAGAGAGAGACCAGAGACCAGAGAAAAACCATAAACCAAAGAGAGACCAGAGAGAGATCAGGGAGAGACCAGAGACTAGAGAGAGACCCAAAAGACTTTAGAAAGAAACCAGAAAGAGGGTCCAGAGACCAGAGGGAGACCAGAGAGCAAAAAGAGACCAAAAAGAGACCAGAGAGGGACCAGAGAGAGACCAGAGACTAAAAAGTGACCAGAGACTAAAGAGTGACCAGAGAGTGACCAGGGAGAGACCAGGGAGCGACCAGAGAGAGACCAGAGACTAGAGAGAGACTAGAGAGAAACCGGGAGAGAGACGAGAAAGAAATCAGAAAGAGGGACCAGAGACCAGGGAGAGACTAGAGACTAGAGAGAGACCAGAGAGAGACTAGGGAGAGACCAAAAACAGACCAGAGACTAAAGAGTGACCAAAAAAGACCAGAATGAGACCAGACATTGGAGAGATACCAGGGAGAGAGATGAAAGAGAAACCATAAAGAGGGACCAGAGAGAGACCAGAAACCACTGTCCATTATTGTTAATACATTTCCCTTAACGTCATGTCTTCTGCTGATGCACATCCCTCATTTAAAGCCGGTCTCTGTAAACTTCTCTCCTCTTCCATGTTTCCTGCAGAGAGGCTCCAGCTACGGCTCCTTGATCACGGCTCACGGGAAGTACCAGCTTTTCGCCAAAACGGGCTATTTTAAGGTGAGTCGCTCTGACAGACTCCCACACACGACGACAGAGAGCGCACAGCTGCAGAAACACCTTTCATTACAACTATTTCTGCTGCGAAAAACAGCAGAGGACTTTACAAAGTTGTCGATTCCTCAACGGCAGATCAGAGAATTAAAACGGTTCAAACACAGGAAGTGCACCAATAACAAATACAGAGCCATTGGTCCATAGGGGGCAGATGACCAATGTTGATAAATGTCCATAAATATCCTGGATCATCTTGTACCCTCTTTACATTTGACTTTTATACTTACATTTGCTTTATACTGTGTCACAAAATGGCCCCACTGTAGCTGTTGTGTGAAGAAATATGGACATTATTAACAGTAGTAGTATTTTAATTTGAGAAGTTTTACAATGGTTTTTTTTTACAAGCACACATAATTCAAGAAAGCAAGAAGGCAGAAGCAAAAAGCTTATAGGAGCCTTCCCCATTATCTATAGGTGCCTTCCCCATTACCTCGTGAGAGACAAATCCCCAAAAATGGAAATTGTAAAGCGCTTTGTGACTCTGGTCTGAGAAAGGCGCTTTATAAATAAAGATTACTTACTTATGTAAATCCAGTAAAAGCAGTTTTTGAACATGAATCTGTTGAAGGGTTACCCCAACCCTAACCCTCTTTCAAATGTTTGGGCACCCCTGGTCTATTATACAGTCTATGTCTCTGCTGCTTTATGTACATGATATATTAATGTATGTTTTGTTGTCGCACAGGGGAACTTGGTGGCCATCAAACACCTGAACAAGAAGAGGATAGAGCTGACCAGGCAGGTTCTGATGGAGCTCAAACATGTAAGTGGTCGACGTGTCTGACGGCTGTTTATTTTTATACTGTATATTTATATGACCTTGATATTAGCGTGGCCATACCTGCAAGTGACAGCCAGATCCAGTGGGGTGGCTGCGGCTGTAAAGTGTCAAACAGCCCTTATCACAAGAGGCTGGGCATGTGCTGCTCTTTCCTTTATAAAGTTGTCGTTGTGAAAAATGTGTTTGAAAATGTTTGTCTTGCTCCACGTGGAGGAGGAAAACTGTAGAAGTGGTCCGTCCATGACTGAGAGCTACAGTTTGAGACCTCAATATTAGCGTGGATGAAGCTAGAAATAACTCAAAGTCTGTTTTTAATGAGAGACAAAATCATATCATTGTCTAACCCTCAATGATTTTTTTGTTAAGATGTTTTTTCTGGAGCGGATTCAGGAGCTGCTGCAGTTCCATCTCCCACCGTGTTTAATATGGCTTAAATTAGAGGGTATGTCTTCCACCGCAACAATGGTGCTGACAGGATTTGGTTTGGATTATTATAAGGCCGTAAAACACAAAATGTCAAAGTTCTCCAGATCGGGACTCGGGCCATCGGCCTTTGCCTCGCAGCTCTTGAGTGTCTAGTGTCGTATCTTTCCCTGAGACATGGAGAAGCAGCATCTGGGAGCATTTACTCGCTTCCTCCTGTCTGTGGTGTGGAAACTGCTGCGGTCGCTCACAAAAAAACTCTGTGGAAAGAAACTTGTGTTCGATTTCCGCCAATTTTACAAAGACGTAGCGTGGAATCAATGGATGCTTATAAGGTCTTTCAAACCTGACATTTACTGCGGACGTAGCTTTGGTTAAATGCATGGCTCCTCTCCCCACCACCATCGCCACCATCACCAAAGAATGCATTAACAGAAATCAATCCAATCAAATGGCGGTTTACCGAGGTCTGAAAGGGATTAACTAAGGTCTCTCTCAACCAGGAGCAAAGCAGGACACGGCTAAACCAGAGTGACGCCTGGATTTCACCATAAGCAGCACAATATTGTAGAACAGGGGTCTCCAACCTTTTTCAATTGGAGAGCTACTTTTATACAACAGAAGAGGTAGAGCGCTACTCCTTTTTGCAGTCATTATAGAATCTATGTATTAATGACAAGAGAGAACACATATGGAGGGCACATGTAAAATATTCTGTAATACTGTATAACCCTATATTCATACTTATAATAAATATGCTTTTTTCTATAGCACAGTTCCTACACAGGCAACTCAAAGTGAAGAAAACAAAACAAGATAGAACCATAAATAATCAGAGCTTGAACATTGTCAAATGCAGGTTTGACAATGTTTTTGTAGAGTGTTTTGTAGGTTTTAGGTTCATGTTTTGGACGTCAACAACATGAAGTATTGAAGTGAATGAAGCAGGAGCAACCGTCACCTGCCGGCTCTGTGGAGGAGGCCGCTTCCCCAGCGCTGGCCTCACACTCACACCTCCTCACACCTGGGACCTCTGCTCCGGCGGAACACTGGCTCTTTCACTGCACACACACACACGCACACATACACACACACATATATACACACATGCGCGTACATATACACACACATACATAAATATACACACACACATACACTCTCCCACACATACACACATATATGCACACTCACTCACTCTCTCTCTCTTACAAACACACACATACACAAATATATACACACACACACAGACCGGTGCCCCGGACAGGAATGCCTCTCTCACCTACTCCCTGTAAATATAGACATTCTGATGAGATTCTGCCAAAAAGGAGAAAGTTAAAATAAGCAGCGATGAGGCCAGACTTCTTGCAGAAGTCTTCATACCCAGTGTACTTTTCCACATTCTGATATTAAAGAGAATCTCTCTGGTCTCTGTCTGTTAATGCAGATCTAAAGATGTGATTGAGAGCGAACGAAAAGAGAACGAGACCAGAGAGAGAGACACGAGAGCGAGACCAGAGAGCAAGACCAGAGAGCAAGACCAGAGAGAGAGACCAGAGAGAGAGACCAGAGAGAGACCAGAGAGAGACCGGAGAAAGAGACCGGAGAAAGAGACCGGAGAAAGAGACCGGAGAAAGAGACCGGAGAGCGAGACCGGAGAGCGAGACCGGAGAGCGAGACCGGAGAGCGAGACCGGAGAGCGAGACCGGAGAGCGAGACCGGAGAGCGAGACCGGAGAGCGAGACCGGAGAGCGAGACCGGAGAGCGAGACCGGAGAGCGAGACCGGAGAGCGAGACCGGAGAGCGAGACCGGAGAGCGAGACCGGAGAGCGAGACCGGAGAGCGAGACCGGAGAGCGAGACCGGAGAGCGAGACCGGAGAGCGAGACCGGAGAGCGAGACCGGAGAGAGCGAGACCGGAGAGCGAGACCGGAGAGCGAGACCGGAGAGCGAGACCGGAGAGCGAGACCGGAGAGCGAGACCGGAGAGCGAGACCGGAGCCGTAGCACAGCGTCCAGAATGCTCAACTATATTCTGGGAAATAATTCAGCGTCTCTTGAGTCCAAACAAGTATTAGGTCTAAATGAGTTGAAAACCCTGCTGTAGACCGAGCTGGAGACCGTCTCTGACCCGCTGGGCCCGGGTTAGTAATAACGAATGCATTTGTTCCTGTGTCATTTTGCCACAATGCCCCATTCACGTCGGGGCAGATTGGGAGCAGACAGCAGAGTAAACCAGGCCACTTTAAAAGCCCCTGGTGCCACTAACATTTCAAGCATAAATGGAAAATTGTGTTGCCTACTTTTGCCTGGACGCTGTTCTCGCCCAGGAACCTGCGCCAACGGCTGACGCTCCAGTCTGTGTTTTTATAATTCAGTTTGTAAAAGGAGAACGGAGGACAGAATATGGAATGTAATAAGTGTTGAGGACTTTGGATTAACTTTCGCTTACGGCTTGAGTGCTCGAGTGTAGGGTCTAAGGACTGTGGGGATGGTCCGGGACTTCCAAGGACGTCTATGGACATTTATTGACATTAATGGATATTTATTGGTCAACCACCTCTTATGGATCAGTGGCTCAATATGTCGTTTTTTTATTGTTGTATTTCCTGTGTTCGAGCGGTTTGATTTTCTGATCTGTGTTGACGAATCGACAACTTTGTAATGTCCTCTGAGTTAACTACTTTTGTCATTTAGGGCTGTACAAAAATACATTGAATTGTGTGTGTGCACGCTTGGCTGTGTGTGTCATAGACTGTAAAGGTGTGAATGCGCATGTGTGTGTATCTCTATGTGTGTGTGTATCTCTGTGTGTGTGTTTGTGTGTCTGTGTGTGTGTGTGTGTGTATCTTTGTGTGTATGTGTGTGTGTGTATCTCTGTGTGTGTGTATCTCTGTGTGTTTGTGTGTCTGGGTGTGTGTACAGTATGTGTGTGTGTATCTCTGTATGTGTGTAAAGTTGAATGTATATATTGTTCTATGTGGGTCTTGACAACAGGTCAAAAGCACGTTGTGCTGCATTTTTTGTATGAAAAGCACTTTGATTTGTTAAATTCCAGAAATCCAGTGATCAGAAAATTGCTGGTACTGTTTTTATTCACTTCTAAAGTCGCATATTGGAGGTTTTTAATCCTGTTTAATTAATTACTAATAAATAACCAATTATTTACCGTCATTTTAAAATTATTTGTTTTTCTGTCCAGATGCGAGATGTCCAGTTCAACCACCTGACGCGCTTCATCGGAGCCTGCATCGACGCTCCCAACATCTGCATCGTCACAGAGTACTGCCCCCGGGGGAGCCTGCAGGTACTGCACCACACTGCAGACACCACACATACAGCTGCTAAAACAACATGACAATTACTTTTATTTAGAGGACTCTCTCTCTGGTCTATCTCTGGTCTCACTTTGATCTCTGTCTCTCTGGTCACGCTCTTTGGTATCTCTCTCTGGTCTCTCTCTGATCTCTGGTCTCTCTCTTGTCTCTCTCTGGTCTCTCTCTGGTCTCTCTCTGATCTCTGGTCTCTCTCTGGTCTCTCTCTGGTCTCTCTCTGGTCTCAATGAGCCCCTCAGTGTCCTCTGCAGCTGTATTTTACTGTGTATGCACGGTTTTTGACAGCTGCAGCAGCGCTCAGACCTACAACTGACCGGTTTGACAGGTTTGATATCTCTGAGTAAATGTGGTTAGAAAAATTTATATAGTGTGTGTGAGAGGTTTTACAGCCTTAAAACAAACAGCTGCTACTTAAATAATTTCATGTATTGCCGTTTCGCACAGAACACATAAGAGTACAGCGCCTGATGCTTAATATAATGCAGGACCATGTCCGGTTTTATAACATAAAAGTGGACATTCCTTTATCATCGGAACGTCCCACGCTCTTTGCCAACTCACCGGGATCCAAGGCAAATCTCCAGGCACTTTGCTGCTGGGAATGAAAACTCTAACCTAAGAATCTAAATTTACCAGAAGTGTGTGTGTGTGTGTGTGTGTGTGTGTGTGTGTGTGTGTTCTGTAGGACATCCTGGAGAACGAGAGCATCAACTTGGACTGGATGTTCCGCTACTCTCTCATCAACGATATTGTCAAGGTACGACGCCTCAACGCAAAAGACATTCTGTTGTGGTTATTTATATTTATAATTATATTCTTATAGTTAATGTCAGTATGTATTTTTATGCAACTGCCCGTAAGACCTGCCCATAGCTTCTTGATTAGACAAAATGAATTTGTTGCCATTCGTCTAACTCATGATAGTCCAGGGTCATTTCTAAATTTACCGTCTCAAAAATTCTATTCATAAAACTTTATTTAAAACTTGTGTCGTGCCGCACAAATACAACCATAGCACATATTTAAGAACTGAAGGCTTAATTAGGAACTGCATAATTACCACCCAAGCCTTGGTAAACAGGACTAGACCAGTTTCCGTAGTCGCTCTAGTTGAGGGTTGACCAAAGAAAGACTATGATGGATAAGGAGTCCGTGCCCCACAGATTGAGAAGCATGTCCTAGACCTATTCCTCACCAGCACCACACGCCATCTGCAGTCCATATATTCAAGTCGTTCTCTCCCTGATGTTTTTTGAGGTGCGTTCCCTTTAGTCCCAAGGGAACTCTAGTTACACGCCTTCAGAACGATTTCAGAAATAGTTTTGTCCCGTTTAGATCCATAAATTGCTCGTTTTCCTCCAAGAGTCTCAATGTCTCCAGGCTGAAAACTGGAACCCTAAAGAAACATGCTCGGCTCAGTTGGTCACGCTCAGGCCTCACAGCAAGGCGAGGTCGCAGGTTCAAATCCCGTGGTCTTCCTGTGTCTCGATGGCTTTCCTCCGTCTCCTCCTGTTAACCCACAACAACTCCCAAAACATGCAAAAGTAAATAACAAAGTAAAACAAAATGAAGTTCCAGATTATTGTGGCATCAAAGCCTTAATCCTAACCTGAGATTATAGATTCAATACTTTGGTTACGTAATTTTTTGCTGCTGGAAACTGCAGTGAAGCTAATATTTCTGGTGAAACCTAAGGGCATCTATGCAATTGGTAGGATCTCGCTTGATATTGAAGGTATTGAAGTGAGTCCTTCAGAGATCGTTTTCTTTCTTGAACCTGGTTTAACCTCTTTTTTAGGAATGACCATTTCCCGCGTCTACTGAGATGTGCAGCTTGTTCTCGGATCCGAATGATCGTTCTAACTGCGTAGTCGTGTCAGTATCTCTGTCTCGGAAGTTATTTCTCAAGGCTATCTCCTCTTGTTGAGTTGACTCTAGGTTTTGAGCCCCAGAGCGAACTCATTATTCTCAGTCTAAAGTCGGGACTTATCTATCTCCGCCTTCGTCCTGCATCGCGCCAACTCCTCAAGCAGTTTAGTGTCCTGTACTATCCTGGATTTACCACGCTCGCCATCCTCCAATTTATCTTTTAGTTTTTGCGTGGCATCTGCAAGAACCACGCAACAACTTTCAATCCTCAGGTGATCACCAGTTGGTCCAGTAACAAAAATCCACATACAACAAAACCTCACATTTGAATGAATTAAACCAGGTAAATAAGTAGTCATACGTAGCACACTTATCTGTGTTGCAGTAGTAGTATTTTTAACCGGGTTCAGACCAAATTCAGACCAAAAATCGGACCAAAAGAATCAGAATCATTTTTATTGCCACGTAAGTAACAGGAGGTCACAGACTAGGAAATTGCTTTGGCTTAGTGCAACAGTCAAAAAGAGATAATAAAAAAAAGAATAAAAAACACTTCTAAAGAATAAATTTAAATTTAAAATAGAGTTACAGTTACTATTTACAATATACAAGTGCACATGGTGCACACAATGTAAGGTGACAGTAGTACAGTGAAGTAAAGTGACGTATGATGGGCAGTAAAGTGACTTTATAAAGGGCGGGGGGACAGGTTAAGAAGTGTTCAAGAGTCCAACAGCAGAGGGGAAGAAACTGTTCTTGTGGCGGGAGGTTCTAGTCCTGATGGACCGCAGCCTCCTGCCTGAGGGGAGTGGTTGGAATAGTCCATGTGCAGGGTGAGAGGGGTCGGCTGTGATACGACCAGCCCGGCCTCGAGCTCGGGCGACGTACAGGTCCTGCAGCGATGGAAGGCTGCGGCCGATCACTTCCTCTGCAGCGCGCACAATGCACTGTAGTCTCTGTTTGTCCCTGACTGTGGCTCCAGCGAACCACACGGTGACGGAGGAGGTGAGGATGGACTCGATGATGGCCGTGTAGAACTGCACCAACATCTGTGCAGGCAGCTTGGCTTTCCTGAGCTGCCGCAGGAAGTACATCCTCTGCTGGGCCTTCTTGATGAGGGAGCTTATGGTCGGCTCCCACTTGAGGTCCTGGGTGATGGCGGTGCCCAGGAAACGATAGTACTCCACAGAGGTGATGGAGGAGTCCATCACGGAGGGTGGGGGCGGGGGGACAGTGCTCTTCCTGAAGTCCACAATCATCTCCACTGTCTTCTGGGCGTTCAGCTCCAGGTTGTTACCACTGCACCAGGACACCAGCCGGTCCACCAAGCGGACTAAACCCGATTATCAGACCTGAAATCTAAATAAACTCACTACCTGTGGTGCTCTATGTGTATTTGTTTGAGTGTACATAGTTCATGTATTTATATAAAATGTTTCATGTCCTTCCCAAATAGTAATTAATATATATTAATATTTTGTATTCTTTTCTGACTCAAGTCATACTGGTGATCTTGTATAGTTGTATTGTAAAAACTTTTTTTTAAATTGTGAAAGGTAATGTCACTCCCGTATTCGTCCCGGAAACCGGATTCGTCCGGAAGTTCAGTTTGATCCAATGAGCATACGCAGCAGTAGATTACGTCACGGACTCTGGACGGAAGCGGAAGTAAATATAAAAAACTACCTATTCATGCCTAAACTTAACCAGCCATTCCCATAAAATAACCCCAACCCAGCCTTAACCCTAAACTTAACCATCTTAATCAGACGCCTAAACTTAACCAGTCACCACTTAAGGACATATTAAACTTTTTGACATGCGCAAACTGAACTTCCGGACGAATCCGGTTTCCGGGACGAATCCGGGAGTGACAGGTAACACTGTCACATGTTCTTCCTGTCATGTGACTTGCTTTGCTAAGAGGTACACCTGAAGGTGATTATTTATGCCCTGACGAAGACCGCTGTTGGTCGAAACGCGTAGGCAGTCCATTTAATAAAGGACTTTTATTTTTTCACTATAACAGAGTGCCTCAGACTTCTTTTCTTCTTTTTGACATTCTAAATCTGCTAGATTGCCCCGTCTTTGAAGAGCACCCGTTATTTATGCCTTCTACTACTCATACCCTCTGCAGCACTCACCTTCCTTGCTTTAAACTAAACTCACTAACTTTTCCCAAATTCATGTGATGTCTTGAATTTGGATAATGACTTTTACTATAAGTCTTGGCTCTCATCTTTTCTTTTGAAACAAAATTCACAAAAATAAGTGGTCAAACACAACACCGAGTAGCAGTAGGATTATTAGTATTAGTAGTATTAACAGCAGTAGGAGACAGAACATGCACATTCATCAGACTTTTTCCCTCTGTGACTAAACGCACAAGTATTTGACTTTGTGTACACTTTCCATTGAGGTCGCTGGCATCAGGAGAGCTGCTGCTGGTTGCTACAGTTACGGTGTTTGTGAGAGAAGGTGGAGAGAGGTAGACCAGTGAGAAAGACCAGAGAGAGAGAGACCAGAGAGAGGGAGAGATACTAGAGAGAGAAGGACCAGTGAAAGAGACCAGAAAGAGACCAGAGAGATACTAGAGAGAGAGACCTGCCTGAGAGTGACCAGTGAGAGAGACCAGAGAGAGATAATAGACCACAGAGAGAGAGAGACCAGATAGAGACACCAGAGAAGAGACCAGTCCCAGTGATAGAATGAAACTGAAGCAAGGATCTAGTTATGTTGCATTCAATTATTCTTTAGTTTGGAAGTTAGATACCCCAGCTTTAACACAAACATCATGTATCCTATTTTTGGCAAATATGGAGTACACTTTTGTCTGTAATCTTTGAGTTATCTATTATTTACTGATGCTCTAACCCTCGCCTCTTGTCTCTAGGGCATGAACTACCTCCACAACAGTTACTTTGGTTGCCACGGGAACCTGAAGTCTTCCAACTGTGTGGTGGACAGTCGCTTCGTCCTGAAGATCACGGACTACGGCCTCAGCAGCTTCAGGTCCTCCAGCGAGAACGACGACACACACTCGCTCTATGCCAGTAAGCCGGGCCATATTTTTTATACAATCAGAGGCGTCTTTGTGGCCATACTGGTTACACTGGTTTGTTTTTTCAACAATTTACAACATTATTCTCATTTTCACTGAGCAAAAACCGGGGAATTTCAGCCAAAAATCCTAGGTCGTCTCTGCCTTACACCGTGAGCAAGACTGGCTGGTCTGTGGTCTCACTCTCTAGTCTCTCTCTCTCTCACTTATATCTCTGGTCACTCTTACTGGTCTCTCTCTCTGGTCTCTCTGTAGCTCTCTCTCTCTCTCTTATCTCGCCCTGGTCACTCTTACTGGTCTCTGTCTGGTCTCTCTTGGTCTCTTTTTGGTCTCTCTCTGGTCTCTCTCTTGTCACTCTCTCTCTAACTTGTCTCTGGTCTCTCTAAGTCTTTCTTTGGTCTCTTTCTGGTCACTCTCTTTATCTGGTACATTCTCTCTGGCTTCTCTCTCTGGCCTATTTTAGTCAAAGTTATCTAAAGTTAATTTCGACACCCCCTGTCTTCACTGGGTCCAAACAACAATTGCTCCCACTGTTGTCCCAGAGTCTACAGTATGAAAAACACCTAAAGCCTCTAAACCTGTGGCATATATTCTCAATTTGTTGTATATTAAAAAGTATAAATGCAAATGTTATGCGACAGAAAAGCTGTGGACGGCTCCGGAGCTGCTTATCTACGACCAGCACCCGCCTCAGGGCTCACAGAAGGGAGACGTCTACAGCTTTGGGATCATCCTCCAGGAGATCGCCCTCAGGAACGGCCCCTTCTATGTGGAGGGGATGGACCTCAGCCCCAAAGGTACAACACACAGACAGACCAAACTCTGGAAACGTTAACAGACACAGTGACGACTATCTCCGCTGTTGAAACTCATGTGTCATCACTTTTCCCTCCTGCCGTCTTTTTCAAAATGGCCGTAAGTGTCTCCTCCTGCATAAACATTTGAAAAAACCCATTTGCCCAATTGTTAGCCGGAACTAGCCTCATTCATTTAGGGAGTGCATCCAAAAGTCCACAGCGGCTAAACTAGAATGGTCCAAAAGCAAAAAAACTCCCTTCAGCCTCTGGAACGTAGTGTTGAGCCAAGAGCCGGCTTTTGGACCATGGTTTTTTAAAAGTTTTTGTTAGAATGCATTGGATAATTCTGTTTCCGGGTACAACACCTCCGGCAAGGAGTGGGGAAGAGTGGAGTGGAGTCAGTATACATACAGACCTCTCTTGTCTCAGTATACATACAGACTTCTCTTGTCTCAGTATATAAACAAAGACAAGAGAGGTCTGTATGTATACTGAGACAAGAGTGGAGTCAGTATACATGCAGACCTCCCTTCTCTTAGTGTATATACAAAAACTAGAGAGATCTGTATACTAAGACTAGGGTATGTATACTGAGATGTCCCTGGTTTGTTTGGTCTCTGGCTCCTTTCTCAACCATCGTCCCTACACCTGGTTTTGACGCACGCTCACCTTAATGTCACACTTCATGTAATTATTCCTCTAATACTGAGTGTAGAGCTCTTCATATGGAAATGCTGCAGCTGTTCATAGAGGGCTCGATTCTCCGCTAAAGAACACGGATACCATCAACAATATAGTGTGACGCAAACGGAGACTGAGCCAGAGGAGTTTTATTTTTACATGTGAGTCAATAGGAGCCGGAGAGAGTTGGAGCAAAACTTCGTCCATGAGTACTTTCCTGTTGGGCTTTTAATGAGCTAGCGGGTTAGCACTGGCCATTTACGTACACTGGCCATTGTAAACCTTACTACCAGTTTTCGCCTCTTTTCTATCTACACAACATTGAAAGATGTACTTTTTTTTTTTGTTATCTCATTGACTGGCAGCCGTTTTTGATGATTTCACTGACTTTGAAGACCCACAGAATATTATGTGCTATGATTATGTGAAATATGAAACCTGAATCTGAATCTGAAACCAGATTCTGAAAGACTGGACTGTCTACTTTCATCAGCAAAAATATGTTGGTTTCTTGCTAGTTTTGTTCTCCTGTAATCTCCACTCGAATAGAGGGAAGTTTGACAGAAATCACAAATACGTCAATGGCAGTTAATAAATTTTTTTTTTTTTTTTTTAGATTAAGAGATCTTTTATTTGTTCAGATTCAATAAATGTACAAAAGTCCCCATGTGCACCAGACAAATATACTATACAATAAAACAAGCTAAAAAGTACAAGAAACAGTTGTCGCTGTGAAATCAATCAATAAAAACAGTTTCAATACAAGCGCAAGATTATTGAAGGGCTTTGTTCGGACTGATAACTGAAAGAAACTGTTAGCATAGCTGTCCTGCGTCTCAGCGAATGAGATCTGCCAGCAGAGGGAAGAAGCTGGAACAGTGTCGTGACTGTGCTGTGGTGTCTGTGCAGAGATTGTGCAGAAGGTGCGAAATGGTCAGAAACCGTTCTTCAGGCCGAGCACAGACTCCCGCTGCCACTCGGAGGAGCTGACCATCCTGATGGAGGGATGTTGGGCCGAAGACCCGCAGGAGAGACCGGACTTTGGACACATCAAGATCTACGTGGCCAAGCTCAACAAGTCAGTGCAAATGCGTACACAGCACACACGGCAAACAAGTGACCATTGGAGTCTTTCTGTCTCCAATGGTCTCTATCTCTCTGCTCTCTTTCACTGATCAATCTTTCTGGTCTCTCTCTGGTTTTTCTCCACTCTCTCTGAAATCTCCGGTCCCTCCATTCGCTCTCCACTCTCTCTCTCTCTACAGTAATTCATTCTTTCATGTAGATTTTTAAAGTGCTCATTTACATAATTATTTTCTTTGAAATGCTTCTAAAATTGCATCCTATTCATCATAATTACCGGAAGTGCTTTGAAGAACTTGCATAATCATTGCATAATTACTTGTAAAACTGACTTGTGTCGTGTGTTATTCAAGAAAAGACTGTTTCCATCTTCTCTGTTAAATCACTGAGACTCAATGTGGTCAAGGCAGGTCAAATTTATCTATATAGCACATTTAAAAATCACTTTCAACTAAAAGGTCTTCAACAACAGATTAGAGACTCAAACACAGGAAATGCAATAAGCGAGACCAAAAAGACGAGAGAGACCAGAGACCAGCGAGACGAGAGAGCTATCAGAGAGAAGAGAGACCATAGAGAGATCAGAAAGAGACCAGAGAGGAGAAAAAGAGCAGAGAGACCAAAGAGAGATCCGAAGGAGACCAGACCAGAGAGAGACCCGAGAGAAGAGACCAAGAGACCAGTGAGACAAGGGAGCAATTGAAGAGAAGAGAGAGACCACAGAGAGAGTCCTGACTGACCAGAGAGAGAGAGACCAGACCAGAGAGGTACCACAGAGGTCTCTCTCTCTGGTCTCTGTGGTCTCTACCACAGAGACCAGAAGGAGAGACCACAGAGGGGCTATATGGAGACCAGAGAGAGAAAGAGAAGAGACCAGAGAGACCACACAGCCCAGAGAGAGATGGGAGAACAGAGAGAAGAGAGATAGACCAGAGAGGGACTAGCTAGAGACCACAGAGCCTTCTCTTTGGCACAGCTCCGGATCATCCCCTTCTTGGACCTTTTACAGAATGTTTTCGTCTTGTTTGTTTACTCTGAGGATTCACTTCAGCCGTCGGCGTATTTTTAGCGGGAATATTTAGCGAGTGTAAACAAGGAACTGGAGGTCACAGTTTCCACAGTCCATCCATCACTCGCATTTAGCCTTAATGAAAGTGAGGCGTGGGTCCTGGTGCTCCGTCAAAACCTGCGTTATGGCTGGGGTCATGCAGAGAACACAGAGAGAGCAAACACACAGAGCAGCTGTTTGACTCCGAGACGGCCCAGCTGTGAAGACGCTCGACAATCTATTAGAACCAGAGAGAGACCAGAGAGAGACCAGAGAGAGACCAGAGAGAGACCAGAGAGAGACCAGAGAGAGACCAGAGAGAGACCAGAGAGAGACCAGAGAGAGACCAGAGAGAGACCAGAGAGAGACCAGAGAGAGACCAGAGAGAGACCAGAGAGAGACCAGAGAGAGACCAGAGAGAGACCAGAGAGAGACCAGAGAGAGACCAGAGAGAGACCAGAGAGAAACCAGAGAGAAACCAGAGAGAAACCAGAGAGAGACCAGAGAGAGACCAGAGAGAGACCAGAGAGAGACCAGAGAGAGACCAGAGAGAGACCAGAGAGAGACCAGAGAGAGACCAGAGAGAGACCGACGGCGACAGCCCAGTTGTAAAGACACTCGTCAATCTATCAGAGCTTACTGGACTTTGGCACGTTTTTACGCCTTCTTCTTTATGGCCTATCTGTGGAATGGAACCAGAGACAGACTAGAGAGAGATTAGAGAGAGACCAGTGAGGGACCAGAGAGAGACTAGAGACCAGAGAGAGAGTCATTCTTCTGCTGTTCTTCTTTAATTGGAAAGAACCCTATGGTATGAGATTTCTTTGCCATTTAGAGATAAAAAAGGGAACCCACCACATAATTACACTTGTCTTACTTTTGGTCCAGTTTTGGTCCAGTCCAAGGACAAACCTGCTGTTCATGTCTCTTCACCTTGGAAATGTGGGCGTGGCCTGACAACCCTTGCAAAGGGTCGATATTGCAATGATTTCCAATATTGTGCAGCTTTCAAATCCATTTAATTTATTTTTGTAGAGCCCTAAATCACAACTCTCGTCTCTGAGGACGAAATGGTCATTGCTCCAATAGGAGATCAGAAAACCAAACAGTTCAAAGGTAAATGTCCATAAATGTCCTAGATCGTTACCATCGCCAAGGACCCTCCTGCTGCCAATGGAAAACACAGAAGAAAAGAAAAGACTGAAAAGGCAAAAGAGAGACCAGAGAGAGGGACCAAAGAGAGATGAAAGAGAGACCAGAGTGAGACCAGAGTGAGACCAGAGTGAGACCAGAGTGAGACCAGAGTGAGACCAGAGTGAGACCAGAGTGAGACCAGAGTGAGACCAGAGTGAGACCAGAGTGAGACCAGAGTGAGACCAGAGAGATACCAGAGAGAGACCAGAGATGGATCAAAGAGAGACAAGAGTAAGACTAGAGAGACGGACCAAAAAGAGACCAAAGAGAGAGACGAGAAAGGGTGATCAGGGAGAGGGACCAGAGTGAGACCAGAGTGAGACCAGAGTGAGACCAGAGTGAGACCAGAGTGAGACCAGAGTGAGACCAGAGTGAGACCAGAGTGAGACCAGAGTGAGACCAGAGTGAGACAAGAGTAAGACTAGAGAGACGGACCAAAAAGAGACCAAAGAGAGAGACGAGAAAGGGTGATCAGGGAGAGGGACCAGAGTGAGACCAGAGTGAGACCAGAGTGAGACCAGAGTGAGACCAGAGTGAGACCAGAGTGAGACCAGAGTGAGACCAGAGTAAGACCAGAGTAAGACCAGAGTGAGACCAGAGTGAGACCAGAGTGAGACCAGAGTTGCTTCAAAGAGAGAGACGGGGAAGAGTGATCAGGGAGAGAGACCAGAGAGAGTGTCAGGTAATTGTGGAGCTCCTTCTGTGTATTTAATGCAGTGGTCGACTTAAAGTTGGATGCGTGGGAAGTGTGGGAGGTCTGTCTGACTCAGAGACGCTCCCCTTATACAACAGCATTATGTAAGCAGAGAGAGAGCAGGTGTGAATATGTGAGAGACTGTAGTCCTGCCAAAAAGGACGCCTCATAGTACTATTCATTACCATGTGGTCGTACTCCAGTTTTTACAGTGTGCTTTGCTGTTTTGTTTTGTAACTTGTGCTCCAAACCATATATATTGTTATGAGCAATACATTATGAAAGAAAGAAAATAATCCAAATTTGATTTTTTTGTGCAACAAAGAGAGAGACAAGAGAAGAGATACAAGAGACACAAGAAAGAGACCAGAAAAACCAGAAAGAGACCAAAGCAAGACCAGAGAGATACCATAGACCAGAAAGACCAGAAACAGACTAGAGAGAGAAACCAGAGAGAGACCAAAAAGAGACCATAGACTAGATAGACCAGAGAGACCAGAAAGACCAGAAAAAGTCCAGAGCGAGACCATAGACTAGAGAGACCATAGAGACCAGAGAAAGACCAGTGTAGAGACAAGAGAGAAACCAGAAAGATACCAGAAAGACCAATATTGAGATTTCAATATGAGCTGATTCACTGTTGTGTTTGTTTCCAGGGAGGGCAGCACCAGTATCCTCAACAACCTTCTCTCCCGCATGGAGCAGTACGCCAACAACCTGGAGAACCTGGTGGAGGAGCGCACACAGGCGTACCTCGAGGAGAAACGCAAGGCTGAGAATCTGCTCTACCAGATACTACCACAGTGAGGCACTCCTTCTGCTCTCTCTCTCCAACAGTCAGGACAATCAGTCATTATGTCTGGTTTAGAAGGACAACCATAGTGTACATCTTACATCTTACTGTGTCTTTCATAACTTTGTTCTAGCTTAATGTTCAAATACATTTATTTTTGTGGATCCCAAAATCAGAGCAGTCACCTTGGAGGACTTTAAAATCGGAAAGGACTCTACTGTACCCAATAAAAATCACAAAAGAAAAAAAAAAACAAGACCAGAGAGACAAGGGAAAAAGACCAGCGAGAGACCAGCGAGAGACCAGCGAGAGACCAGCGAGAGACCAGCGAGAGACCAGCGAGAGACCAGCGAGAGACCAGAGGCAGACCAGAGAGGGACCCGAGAGAGAGAAGAGAGAGAGAAGAGAGAGACCAGCGAGAGACCAGCGAGAGACCAGCGAGAGACCAGCGAGAGACCAGCGAGAGACCAGCGAGAGACCAGCGAGAGACCAGCGAGAGACCAGCGAGAGACCAGAGAGAGACCAGAGAGAGACCAGAGAGAGACCAGAGAGAGACCAGAGAGAGACCAGAGAGAGACCAGAGAGAGACCAGAGAGAGACCAGAGAGAGACCAGAGAGAGACCAGAGAGAGACCAGAGAGAGACCAGAGAGAGACCAGAGAGGGACCAGAGAGGGACCCGAGAGAGACCAGAGAGAGTAGAGAAAGAGACAAGAGAGAGACCAGAGAGAGTAGAGAAAGAGACAAGAGAGAGACCAGAGAGAGACCAGAGAGAGACCAGAGGCAGACCAGAGAGGGACCCGAGAGAGAGAAGAGAGAGACCAGAGAGAGTAGAGAAAGAGACAAGAGAGAGACCAGAGAGAGTAGAGAAAGAGACAAGAGAGAGACCAGAGAGAGTAGAGAAAGAGACAAGAGAGAGACCAGAGAGAGAGACCAGAGAGAGACCAGAGAGAGACCAGAGGCAGACCAGAGAGGGACCCGAGAGAGAGAACAGAGAGAGTAGAGAAAGAGACAAGAGAGAGACCAGAGAAAGAGACAAGAGAGAGCCCAGAGAGAGACCAGAGAGAGACCAGAGAGAGACCAGAGAGAGACCAGCGAGAGACCAGCGAGAGACCAGCGAGAGACCAGCGAGAGACCAGCGAGAGACCAGCGAGAGACCAGCGAGAGACCAGCGAGAGACCAGCGAGAGACCAGCGAGAGACCAGCGAGAGACCAGCGAGAGACCAGCGAGAGACCAGCGAGAGACCAGAGAGAGACCAGAGAGAGACCAGAGAGAGACCAGAGAGAGACCAGAGAGAGTAGAGAAAGAGACAAGAGAGAGACCAGAGAGAGAGACCAGAGAGAGAGACCAGAGAGAGACCAGAGAGACTATTAAATATTTAACAACAATCCAATACTATTATAATGTAACGTTTTCCAAATGTAGCAGACAGGAGTGACTTTTTAATAAATTAATCAAATCAAATGAAAAACAAACTGTGGTGCTCTATGTTCACGTGGGTCGTCGCTGGTCATCAAAGATTTGTGGTAGAATCCCAAGAATCCGATGTGGAGGATTTTGAAGTGTTTACCGAGAGAAGCAGGTCAGGCAGAGGCCCACCACTCATTGTGTTTGATGATTACTTCTTTGAAAAGGGTTCCACGCTTTGGCCTCTTGCTCCTCGAACATTTCCTTCAACCGCAGAGTTCAGCAGAAGTTCATCCGTTCGTCCAACGAGAAATAATTTCAGACGGACAAAATAGTCAGGAATCAGCGGGGGTGGAAGTGGGAGCATGAAAACCTATATTATGAAGAAATATCATTCTTTATGTTTGGCCATTAAAAATCATTTATTCATCCATCCATTTTCTTTCCCTTAATCCATTTCTGGGTCGGGGGGTGGCAGTCAGAGCTGCACCCAGTACACAGAGCACCGGCCCCTCACTGATCCTCCTGCAGGTTGTGACTCCACAGGAGCCTTGATTATTCAGCGGGGGCTTCAGGCAAAGTGGGGTCAAGTGTCTTGCCCAAGGACACAACGACAGCAGACATCAGTGGGAGTCAGGAAGTAGGTCTTGTGGTGTGCTCAAACCCATGACCTTCAGGTTTTATGGCCAATGCTCTACCAACTGAGCCACTGTCGCCCCTAAAAAAAAAATTGTTTATACAAAGTTAAAAATAGCATGAAACAAGTATGAAGGGGGAAAAAGCTGTCTGCCTGTAACTCCCTATGCTACCACCAGAGGGATGAGTAGTTTTGTGAACTCAAACAGGCTCCAAGGGCGATTTGAGGATGGCATCGCCCGAGCAACCAAAGAGCGATTGGGCGATTAATTAGAAAAATAGTGAAGAACAAAAAAAAGATTTTACTTTGTGAAGTCAGAAAGGCACTCATAATAATCCATTAGACTTTCCTCGTCTCTTTCTGCCTCATTCTCACTGGAGTTTCATGGTTTAATAGAAGGAAAGAGAAAGAGCAGAAAGTTAACACCTGTTATTAGCGTGACACATAATTCAGAAAAACCAAGGAAGCGATGGAAGCAGTATCAAGGACTCGGAGCTTAGAGAGCGTCTGTTGGAATGTTGCCAATTCATTTTGATGAAATAGACTCAAATAATAATTGTACCATCACATACTTAACCCTGGTTTCCGTAACCATTTGGTGGATCACTTTTTGAGTCTCTATGTCTTGAAATCTACCTCATTGGTGCATCTCTATAACTTGGTTTGAGGCAGTTTTACCATCAAACTTTGGTAAAGGCCCAAATCCAGGAAAATACCATCCAAACAAATTGTGTTTTTATCAGTGCTCCTTCATTTCAGATAATCAAAAAGATAAATATTTAAATTGATTTCTTCAAGGAGTGAACATTAAAGTATTAATATGGACCAGGGGTGTGAAACCGGTCCTCAAATGGGTTAGTCCCTAGTTGAGCAGAAGCAAAACCAGACCCCACCCATTTGCTCAGGTGAGTCTAACCTGAAGATTTGAGGAAAAGGGTGGAGTCTGTTGAAGTTTAGAACAAAAACCTGAAGCCACACGGGCCCTTTCTGGAACCGGTTTGACACCCCTGATGTAGATGGTACTACAGGGTCAAAACTATCAAAATGAAATATACTGGAAGTTGCAGAGATCCCCTTTAAACACTGCTGTCGTTGCAGGAGGGTCTGTTAGACTGTTAGAGAGTCTAGCTCAAAGGACTGTGGTGATGATCCAGGATACTCCACATTCAACAACATTTATGGACATCGGTCTCTGCCCTTTTATGGCCTTTTATGGACCAATGACTCTTGGTGCTTCTGTCTTTGCATTTCTTGTGTTTGAATATTTGATTATCTGATCTGAGTTGGTGAATTCAGTGGTTTTGTTCATTTCTAGATAAACTACTGGTGTGATTTAGGGCTATACAAGAATACAGTGAATTGAAATGGAATTGAACTGTCTCTGTGTGTGGTCAGCTCGGTGGCGGAGCAGCTGAAGCGCGGAGAGACGGTTCAGGCCGAAGCCTTCGACAGCGTCACCATCTACTTCAGCGACATCGTGGGCTTCACATCACTGTCCGCAGAGAGCACACCGCTGCAGGTAAATACATCCTCTGCTTGTACTTCATTGACTTGGATTGATAGACAGATAGATAGAGAAAGAGGAGATAGATATGTAGCTCCTCAACATGGACATAGAGAAACAACGATATTGGACCAGCAAAAAGGGGAGAGTAGCACAGGTACACAGAGACACAGGTACGTAGAGACACAGAGAGACGCAGGTACGTATAGACCAGGGGTCGGGAACCCAAAAGGTTCAAAGAGCCATATTTGACAAACAAACTAAAAACAACATCTGTCTGGAGCCGCAAAAAAATAACAGCCTTGTATAAGGCTTATATGAAGGCAACACAGGCTGCAAGATGTATTAGCTATATTAGCCTAATATCTAAATGACAAAGTAAAGGCTACAAAACACATAATAATCATTCATGATTATCAAATGTGTATTTTCACTGCAGAGTGTCGCACCACGCGTGTCGTGAATGATGCACCACGTGACGACTTTGCTTTAAGTTTAACTTCAATTTTTTTGCCTTCATGCAATTATAGAAATACAGTAAATAAATCTGCTTTGGGCTCAGAGTCACACACCTGCATCACTGTCTGTTCATATCGATCACGGTCACAGGCTGAAGTTTGCTGGAGCTGAATTAATGTCCTTACTGGCCTTTTCTTTCACCGTCTTTGCGAAGGTTTTGAAGTCTGAAAATAGGTGCTCTGACTTTTTGATGAAAGAATCCTTCACGTAATCACCGTGAACGGTGTTTAGCGCTTCATTGTTCTTCGTGTTGCAACAAAACTTCCCATTACATCGCAAACATAAAGCAGTCCTTCCTCATTGACTGAAAGCAAATGTTCATTCTCATTCTTAGTCCAGTCTTATTATCGACTTTCTCTTTTAGCTTTGGGATCCCTGCGCACATACAGTCTATGATTCGCACACGCCGGTTTGTTTACAACAGCGCAGGGCGCGTCACAGGATATGACACACTACGTTGACAAAAATGTTGAAATTAAATATTACTTATACACATTTTTACAGCATGTAAAAATTTTTACTCCTACAGAAACCACATTCAAACTAGAAATAAAATATAGCCCTCCCACTCTATTTTCAAACATTTTTGAAAAGGCTTTAGGAGCCACTCCAGGAGCACTAAAGAGCCGCAAGCGGCCCTGGAGCCGCGGGTTGCCGACTCCTGGTATAGACCAGTGGGGGCGGGTCCCAGCTCAAAAGTGGCCAAGATGACGTGCGCTGACATGCTTGCATTACCACCCCGGGCCGATGGGGGTGGACCCAGAAGAAGAATTAGCCAATGCTAACATATAGCATTGGCAGGCCTCTCAAAAACGTCCTTACAGGATGGTTCAAAAGTGGCTCTTGGCCCAAAGCTCCGTTCCACATGTGTGTCAATGCTGAGGGGGGTGGATTTTTTTGGACCACTCTAGTTCACTTGCTGTGAATTTTTGAAGTCTCTCGTTCAAATGAATGGAGCTGCGCCGGCTGACGCAGATGCGTTTTTTCACAATTTTCTTGTGGGCGGGACCACTCGCGGCCATTTTGGATTGCTCCAGTAGAGCACATTTTTTGGCCCATTAGTTAGAACGGCAGAGATAGGCGTGACTCTGTCCATTAATATATACAGTCTATGGTATAGACATAGAGAGACGCAGGTACATATAGACACAGAGAGACGCAGGTGAAACAAATCAGGGAGGAGCAGACAATCAACAGGGACAGGAAGTAAGTAAGTAAGTAAGTAATCTTTATTTATATACCGCCTTTCACAGACCAGAGTCACAAAGCGGTTTACAATTGTTATTTTTGGGCACTTGTCCTCTCACTCCACACAGAGATGGGAGCGGGGTCGCCGAACAGGAGGCGCATGCCAGACCTATTGTACATATTTTTAGTGGTAGGGGAAACCGGAGTACCCGGAGGAAACCTACGCAGACACGGGGAGAACATGCAAACTCCACTCAAAGGCCCTGGTCCAGCCGGGATTCGAACCCAGGACCTTCTTGCTGAGAGGCGAGAGTGCTATCCACTCAGCCACCGTGCCGCCACACTAAAGTAAAACTAAACTAAAACCACAGAGAAATTAAGTCAAAATAAAACAAGTACAATAAAAAAATCCAACTTGTTATGTTTCCGCAGGTGGTCACGCTGCTCAATGACCTCTACACGTGTTTCGACGCCATCATCGACAACTTTGACGTCTACAAGGTGAGTTTGATCTACACAAACCTGTCTGCATATTTACCAAAGCTTTGTGAGAGTGCTTTAGTAATCAGCAGTCCTTAACACTGGATCAAACTGATCTGTCTTGCACATATTTAACATATCCCATAGATTGTTTACAAGGAGTGGACTGACCGAGTGTGACATCACCATAGTGTTAGCCCGTCCGTCCGTTTTCCTCCGCTTCATCCGTTGCCGGGTCGTGGGGGCAGCAGTCTAAGCAGAGACGCCCAGACTTCGCTAGTGTTAGCCTTAATGCCAAATTGAACATAAGCTAGCTGGAGCAATCTCCTTATATGGGCTTTTGGTCCGATTGATAAGGCAAGCTGGAGTTTCCCTCGCAAATGAAGGCCTCTGATTGGTCAAACCTTAATTCAGCTCATATCTGGATTTTCAATATAATTTTCCATTTCCCTGAATCACATTACCAGTTTGTTTCGGAGGACTTTACAAAGTCCAACACGGATCATTTCAAGTTTGAACACCGGAACTACAATGATAGGAACGACATGGAGCCATTGGTCCATAAAGGGCAGGTCAATTATACAGATGCCAGAATCACAAAAGGCACTAAACTGCAATTTTTAAGAAAAAAATTGTGAGTGCAGAACTAGGATCACATGGACTTTCAATAATTTTTTACCTTAATTTAACCAATAAAGCAATACTTTGTATCTTGTTTTCCTGTTTGTACACACCTGCAGGTTTGAAATGAATAAATAAATTAAATGAAATGAAAGTCCCATTGAGACTAAAAACCCATTATTCAAGGGAGTCCTGGACAAGAGGCAGCAAAAGTCACACACAATTACTTAAAATTACAGATTATAAAAACGGTTACATGTCAATGGCGACGTCTCAAGTGTTAGCCTTAAAAGCATTCAATGATTTTCTAGTGTTTTAAAGTTAGATACTCCAGCTTTTGAGTGTCCCTGAGGATGTTCTTCCAATCAGAGCTCTGTCCCTGATGTGAATGATCTGTTACCAGGTGGAGACGATCGGCGACGCGTACATGGTGGTGTCGGGGTTACCGGTGCGAAACGGGAAGCTACACGCGCGGGAGATCGCCAGCATGTCTCTGGCTCTACTTGAACAGGTCAAAACCTTCAAGATCCGGCACCGGCCCAACGACCAGCTGCGGCTCCGTGTCGGCATCCACACAGGTATGGAGAGACTCTCTCTCTGGTCCTTCTCTGGCCTCTCTCTCTTGTCTGTATCTCCGATCTCTCTCTGGTGGTTCTCTGGTCTCTCTCTCTGATCCTTCTCTTGTCTTCCTCTGGTCTCTCGAGAACACAACCCAGTTTTGAGCAATAATGTGCAAAAGTCCAACTACAATATAAGTATTGCGTATGATTTTCTGGTTCGTTATTATAATAGATCCACGGGCAGGACGCGGGTCCGTGTCTTCTGCAGGTTGCTCTGCAGGTTGGTTTATTGACAAACTGATATTCTCATCGGCGTTTAGCCTCAGCTCTGCCGCAGCCGTGTTTGCTCTGTTCAGGGCGAAATCCTGGCTCTCCCGGTCCCTCTGTCTGTTTTCTTGAGAAAGGCGTTCTAAGTATATAGTTACCAGAACAATGTATTCACCTTCTTTCAACCATCTACCGCCGTAGAGGGTTGAAAAACTAAAACAAGTTGTTGTGCTACACGTATTAGCATTTTTGTTTGTTTCTGTTTATCACATTAACGTGTTTGCACCATAGACTATAATTGACGTCTCATGTATCCAATAAGAAGACACGCTGCTAGCAGGCCCTGATGAAGCAGACTTGACACCAATTGGTTAATCCCACAGGTTTGTTTTCATTGACTTTAAGTTCCCACGGGCAGCAATGTAGAGTCTGAAGGCCTAGAGGCAGATTTTGGGCCATAGCAACACATGATGCTGAGTAATGATTGGATAAAAACTCTCAGACCTCAAAAATATATATTATACATATTATATATATATATGTTTGGTGGCTTAAACAAAAGCCCTTGCAGGCCTTGAGGATGCACCATTGCTTCTCTCTAGTTTTGTTCCAATCACAGAGGCTGGACTCATTTTGTTCATAGAAATAAATTGAAATATATCCATAAATGTCCATAAATGTCCCGGATCGTCACTGTCCTCTGACCCTCCTGCTGTAAATCCAGGAGATAATCGTTAGCCTGTTTGAAACACAAGATGGCACGTCATAAAGCTGTGTATATCGTGTTTATAATCTACAGCGGGTTTGACGAGACCCATTACAAATACACACCACTGGATCCTTCTTCTGTTTAAACACTCTTATGGTCTGTCACATACTCAGCTCTGCAGATATAAACAGACAAATGGGAGAATAGTTTTCCGACAAGCCCAGCGATAATGATGCCACTGTAGTTTGCCAAGTGTGGCTCGTCTAGTCACTATTAGTCTCTCTGCCTGGTCTCTCTCTCTGATCTCTCCCTGGACTCAATCTGGTCTTTCTGATCTCTCCCTGATCTCTCTTTCTCTGGTCTCTCCCGGATCTCTCCCGGATCTCTCTCTCTGGTCTTTCTCTCTGTTCTCTCACTTTCTCTCTCTTTCTCTCTATTTCTCTCTCTCTCTTGTCTCCCTCTGGTCTCTCTCTCTGGGTCGCTGATGGTGTTGCTGCTCTCTCTCTCTTCAGGACCAGTGTGTGCAGGAGTAGTGGGACTGAAGATGCCTCGGTACTGTCTGTTCGGAGACACGGTCAACACAGCGTCACGGATGGAGTCCACAGGAGAAGGTGAACCTCTACTCTGTTCTTTCTTTCTTTCTTCATTGCTAAAAAAATTTTGCACAGAGAACGACACTCTCGTTCTCATACTTTGGTCTCTCTCTCAGATCCCTCTGGTCTCTTCCTCTGACCCCTCTCTCTCTGGTCTCTATCTCGGCTCTCTCTCTCTGGTCCCTCTGGCAAGAGTTTACATGTTCTCCCAGTGCCTGCTCCGGTTTCTTCTGGGTTAAAATAAATGAAAATGGCAACCACTTTCCCCAGTGTGTTTTGGACCTCACACGTCTTCTCACAACACATCATCTGTTGAGGAAATTACCCGCTCATTCTCACTAACAATGTCACAGAGGTAATGGATTAAACAGATCTATTCTTGTACAAATATGTCACTAATATGATAACACGTCCATTAGAAAGGAACCAGAAGACAAACAGAAGCCTCCATGAGTGTAATTGATCAATTGTGGTGACTGATCAATTACACTCATGGAGGCTTCTGTTTGTCTTCTGCACACCAATGTTTCCTCCAGAACAGACTTTTGTTATTGCAGTCCGTTGCGTTTATGCAACATCATAACAATGAGTCCCAGAAGTTTAAAATGAAGCTGGAGAACCAGTCCCAACTCCATGGTTGGATTCTTCAAGAGATGGGAGACATGTTTTTTTTATTTTTTTATTAAGACATTAAAATCAAAGTTCATTTGTATGCACAGCTGAACAGAACTGTTTTTAACCTGGATTTGAACATTAGTTTTTAGCTGCATACTTCTGAAACATTGCCTTCCCACTCCTCACTCTGGGCACCAGCAGGAGGCCAGTCCCTGTGCTCCTCAAGAGTCCCAGCAGCTCAGAACCAGTAAAAACAGTTTTATGAGGTGTGTTGTCAGCCCCTGGACAGTTTTGGCACGGTAAAGTGGCCCTCTAACTAAAAAAGTTAGGGCACACCTGCAATAACAGGTACAATACGGAATACTTTACAGAGATCAGCAGAGTTTTCGTTGCCACGGTAATGCTCATTAGCCTGCCGCTTCGGTGTGGTGGAACCTGACTGCTTCTCTTGAGTGTAGAATAATGTAAAGGTCAGACAAGCGTAGAATAACAACGCAATTATAGCCTGGTTTAACCACGCTGTGATCGTTCAGAGTACAAAAGCAGTAAGTGAGCTCTTTATCACACCACACAGGCTAGAATCACTTGAAAAGAACATTCCAAGAAAACACATGAAAAATAGATATAGATTTCTCACGATGTGTCCTCGTTGAAGAAGCACTTTAATGATGGGATCCGTAAAACAAAATGACAGATGTTTTTTATTGCTAAAATACAGTCTCTGGACCATGAATGAACCCGTCTCCACACTAGAGGACTAGAGGCCACCCGCGGTACTTCAGCCTAATTCAGTGTGAACTAAAATGTCTCGTCCTCAGCTGACGGGGAACTACAGCTTTTACAAACACGATTTTTATAGGATTTTAGAGTCTCCTAAACTTTTTTTTTCTTTTGAAATGGTTTGGTTTTCTGCCACAGTTTAGTGCAACAAACTCGGCTCGCTCTTGTACCCGCTCTGATCTGCAGCATGTTGATTGGTCAGAACGTTCTGGTCCTTCTCTAAGGTCTCTCTCTAGTCCCTCTCTGATCTCTCTTTGGTCTCACTCTGATCCCTCTCTCTGGTTGCTCACTCTGGTCTTTCTCTGGTCTCTCTCCGGTTTGCTTTCTCTGATCTTTCTCTGGCGTGCGGCCACGGCACCTACTGCATAAGATCAGGAGAACCAGAGCTGGCCAGAGCACGTCACTTCTGCTAATGTTTGGGAAGTCCATGGCACGAGCATGAGCCAATGAGCATAGGCCACTGATCTAAATGGGCAGACATCTTTATACATTCACTCAAACCAGGAATAACCAACCAGGATAAACTTTTTTTCTTCATAAACATTGCATATTTGAGTCTTGTAATGTATAATGATTTACTCAGATCACAACATGCAGTTTTAGATTGCTTTTAATATTTTGCATACTTAGAACGAGACCTCTGAGTCATTATATGACTCTTAGCTGATTGGCTGAGTTAGAAGTGATCCTCTCTTTTGAACTTTTCTGTTTGAAAAAGCTGATCTAAAGATGTGACAGAGGTCAGAAAAAATGAAAACTCATGTTAGAACCAAACTGTTTTATAACCAAGAACAAGTGAGAGTGACTTTTGAGAGTGACAACGGTGTGCTGGCTCTGCTCTGCTCTATGTGTGGCTGATGGATGTATTGATCCTGGGTTTCCTGTACTGTGCCGCTCTGGTGAATAATTGATGGAGCTCGGAGCAGACGAGGCTCCGGTCTCTGCTGGGTCGGCACTTCTCTCATCTCTGTGTGGAGTAAGAGAAAAATGCCCGAAAAGAACAATTGTAAAGCGCTTTGTGACTCTGGTCTGTGAAAGGCGCTATTTAAATAAAGATACTTCTACTACTGCACAGAGGACTAGGATCCAGAACAAGGGCTCTGAAGGATCCTACAGGTTGGACACGGGACAGATAAGAGAACCTTTATTGGTCCCACTAAAAGGGAGACAAAAACGAGTCCACTGAGGATCCAGGACTAAAGGCCCCGATCCTGCTCATATGAGTTTTGAAAAGTTGAAAAAACACAATATGCAACTGGCCAAGTGCTACGGCCGTTTCTACAGTGACATTGGGAGTTTTTGGCCCAGAAATTACATTCAAAAGAATTAGTTTGTAATAATCATATGTGTTAAATGTATTAAAACCAGAGACTATCTATTATGTATTTGTCTCGTTATACTAGCCTAGCAGTGTTTCCGCCAGGAATTTTTGTGAGGGGGGGACCGCGAGGGGAGGGGGAATGTGGAGGTCCGATGCCCCATAAAAAATGTCACGTACGTTTATTGCAATGATTTTTGTTAATACTTTTCACGAGGAGTTAGTGGACATGTGTGCCTTTAATATGAGCGGCCTTTGTGGGAATGGTTATATTCAAAGAATTAGAGTAAAATGAGTTTGTAAAACACCTGCAGAGCCGTAGTTCTGAGCGGAGCTAGAGCAGAGCCAGAGGTCTTCAGAGATCTGAGAAGTATTTGGTCTGTTACTGGCTCACTCACATTCAGAGGAGGAAGACACGCAGGTGTCCAGTGAAGCAGATAGACATTGTTAGTGACAGGATAGTCACTAACAGGATAGTCCTCCGCGCCATAATTGTCCCCAGTCAGCCACAGTTTACGTCCTCCGTGGGGCCACCGCGGTAAAGAGGTCCGGCTTTTCGGAGTCAGCGGTAAAGCGGTCCGCACATTAAAAGCGGATGGCCGCTTTATGCTGTTAGTGTTAGGTCTGTTTCACACCGCACACAAATTCGTGAACGAATTCGTCTTCGAAACCCGCTCACGTGCATTCGCAAGCTGCGCTTCAAGTCGCGTCCTGTTGTGCAAATGAGAAAGCTCTTCTGTGTACAGACCGGCGCTGAGGCGGCGCGCAGGGAATCGGCGCGCGCCGCTGCCGCCTCCGCTCCTGAAACCAAAAATGGAACTCGAGCGCATTTTTTCTGCGTGTAGGCTGCGCAGCGAAGCGGCTTTCAGCACGAAAATATTCAAAAAATAACTTTTATAAAGCAATTTCACGTTTATCTAATCTCATTATTGTAATGCATAAGTACATATAAGTTTATTCTTTTAATTACACAATTTTCCATGTCATACTTTTTTTGTATGCATAAAATATAATTGTAACATATATTATATATATAATAATATATATATATAATATATATATATATATTATAATTATAACCTAACCTTAACCCCCATGGAGATCCAGGCCTTCCCCACACCTAACCTTAACCCACATGGAGATCCAGGCCTTCCCCACACCTAACCTTAACCCCCATGGAGATCCAGGCCTTCCCCACACCTAACCTTAACCCCCATGGCGACCCAGGCCTTCCCTGCTCCCATCTCTATGTGGAGTGAGAGACAAATGCCCAAAATTAACAATTGTAAACCGCTTTGAGACTCAGATCGCCTGGGGCGACCCAGGCGACCCTGCTCCCATCTCTATGTGGAGTGAGAGACAAATGCCCAAATTTAACAATTGTAAACCGCTTTGAGACTCAGATCTGCAGTGAAAAGGCGGTATATAAATAAAGATTACTTACTACTACTACTACTACTACTTCCCCACACCTTATAATTAACTATGATAATGAAACCACAATCAAAATAGGCTATAAGATACATTATAAGGAAATGTTAGCAATTTATTTAAGGTCTACATGTGCTATTTTGATTTCTGACCTGTTATTTCAGACAACATATGTAAATATACAACATGTTTATTAGTTTGGAGTACAATACTACTCCTTTTGTGCGTCGGCGTCAGTCTGAATACATGCGCTCGCCGCGAGGTAGTTCGGCTGGAAAGGGCGCTCTGCTCTGCGCTCGGCGTGCGGTGTGAAACAGGCCTAAAGAGAAGCCGCGGGGATGAACCGCCACAACCACAATGCACTTTTTAACATCAAGCGGACACCCGCTTTTAATGTGCGGACTTCTTTACCACTGACCCCTGTTGTGTTTGCAGCGTTCTCTTGTGCATTTCCTTCAACAGACATGGTTAAAGAGGCACCGACACGTATGATCTTTCTGTCACTTTATTTGCAAAGTGAAGAGCGCACATCCGTGCTGTAAGTTTCGCGCTTCTCTCAATAAAAGCGGCAACAGGAATTAAAGGCATAGAGGCATAAACATACATAAAGGCATAGTTTGGACAGATCTGGTCTTTTGCCTGTGAGCCTCTCATATGGTGTACTTTTAGTTCTGTTATTGTAACACCTATTTCGAGTATGAGCAGCATTTTGTATGGCGTAAGGCCACAGTGATTTTGGTAACCCTCTTTCTAGCAACAGGCACCTCCCCATCTCAAAGAGTGTTCTCCATTGTCTCTCAGCTGTGCCATTTTGATGAGGAGAATATGGCGCAGAGGTTTCATGTTTTATACCCCTTTCTCTTAATAATTGCTG